TAGGTTCAGGCAATTCTCCTGCCTCAGCCTCCTGAGTAGCTGGGATTACAGGCACGCGCCACCATGCCCAGCTAATTTTTTGTATTTTTAGTAGAGACGTGGTTTCACCATGTTGACCAGGATGGTCTGGATCTCTTGACCTCGTGATCCACCCGCCTCGGCCTCCCAAAGTGCTGGGATTACAGGCTTGAGCCACTGCGCCCGGCCCTCTCTATTCTTAATTTTGTTAATTTCTGCTCTTCATAAGATTAGATTCCTTTCTTCTGTTAAGCTGTGGGTTTAATTGGGTTTTGTTTTTTGGTTTTGTAATTTGGTTTTGTTTTTGGGGAGCCATTAGTGAGCCTCCCTGTCAGTACAGATGCTCACAGTTTCTTCAGCCATTCCAAGCTGGGGCCCTAGGAGTCCTGGGGGTAGCTGGGCATGTCAGGCATGCTCCCATCATTTCAGACAGGCATTGGATAATTAATTGTAGGGTGTGGCCTGGTTGATCGTGATTACATACTTGGTGTAGGGGCTGAGTGGGGGCAAAATTAGAGGATGGCCCACAGTGGTGAAGGACAAAACCAGCACCAGCTCCTTGGCCCAGGCATTCGTGAGGAAGGCAGCAAGTCTTGCAGCCATCTGGTCTCAGCAGTGGCAATGGCTTGTTATTTTTTTCAGTTCCTTAAAGTATAAGGTTATGATATTGATTTGAGACCTTTCTTCCTTTTCATTTTAAGCATTTATAGCTATAAATTTCCCCCTTAGCACTGTTTATATTGTGGATTTGTTTTCATTTATCCCAAGATATTTTCTAATTTCTCCTGTGATTTCTTCTTTAATCTATTGGTTGGTTGTGTGTTATTTAATTTTCATATATTGAATTTTCAGGTTTTATTCTGCTATTCATTGCTAGTTCCTTTCCATTTTGATCAGCAGAGATACTTTGTGTGATTTTAATCTTTTTATATTTATTAAGGCTTTTTTGTGGCTTAACATTTGGTGTATCCTAGAGAATGTTCTATATGTACTATAGAAAAATGTGTATTCTGCTGTTATTGGGTGGAGTGTTCTGTATAATTGTAGTGTCTCTTTCTCT